CAGGCAAAGTTCTTCCCTCAGAGAATTCATTCAAAGTAAATTGGGTGGCTCCCTGGTCTCTGTTCTAAGGACAATAGGAATGCCCTCCCTAAAGCGTTTCCAGGTGCAGCCTATTCACCCAGGCGTCTGTCTCTTTTCCTGAAGAACCTGGGCTGGGCAGCCGACACAATGGGATTCCTCCCAATCCTCCTTCTCCTTCCCCCATTTGAGGCTAGGTGCTAAAAGGTATGTTAATTAAGCTTGAGAAACCAAGTTGCGGTTGTGAGATTCGAACCAGTGAAGTATGATGTGAAGGTGCCTGAATGTCTGGAAAAGTAAGATTGATAGTTGTACCTTGTCTTAGTCCTACCCAGTTTTGTGTATAATTCCTCCCCTAAATAAAACGGAGGCACAGAACGAATCCAGGTGCATTACGACTGGCAAGGCGTGTGTTACAGCATGCCGGGGACTCAGTCCAGCATTGCAACCATACTGCCTGTTTATCTAAGATGTTTACTATGCAGGATATTACGGCCTTCATGGCTGAGATGTTTGCAATGCAGGATCTGCCTGATGCCAGTCCCGCATCCACTCTGGTTTCGGGGTGTCTCTTTGTCTCTCTCTTGGTGTCCTTGTGTGTATCACTATATTTCTACAGCTGCCAGATATCCCCACCTCGTGAACCAAAAACCTATGTCGAGGCGGGTCCCCGGCAATATAATTATCCATTAATTTTTTCATATTAAGACATTGAAACCACGCACGTACTGTCTTCTATGGCACTTCTCGATATGGGCTAGCCACGTTCCTATCGCTCAATACATATCTGAGTTGAGGCTACCATATTGAACAATGCAAAGATGGATGGATGGGAAGTTACAGACAATGCAGTTTTAATTCAACCTTCTCATTATTATTATTTTTTTGTTATATTCCAAATTTCAAAGAATTTAGACTTACCAATAGCCAGGAATTCCTTGTAATACCTTGGATTTCAACTCCGGATTCTCTCCATTACTCACATTTGTAAGGTGAGGATGAAACCCTTTCCACAGACTTTCCTATCATCTTCCTTCCCCATCATTCTCCCACACACCATCATTCAGCCTCCTTCTTAGATACACACTTACGATCACAGGGCTTTTGGTTAAACCATGAGCTTTTTCCACAGAGCTAAAGTACACATGCTACTGACATGGATGGCTATCCAGTCTAAGATGTAGGGTGATGTTTCATTTTACTATTTATTGTGCACTTTAGAGAATAAACAAGCACTGATGGTTAACTGATTTCTACTTTCATCATCTGTTATCCTGTATGCTTGAATCAACACAATCACTGAGCACATATTTATAGAAGGTAGAACCAAATCATAGTTGTTTTCATCATTATTAGTTTTAGTTCATCTAGTTTCTCTATCTGTGATGTGCTGGTCACGTATCCGAGTCATTATGTCATTATATGAGACATGATAGAATACACTCTTTATGCATCAGAGAGGAAAAGACTAAAACAAGATCAGACTTAGGAAATGTCTTGCCCCTCTAAAGTCTAATAGGTGCAGGACATAACTGACTGGATGATCTAATCAGATTTTAATAACCTAATAAGAATTGGATGAAAAGCCTAAAAGATATGATTAGTAAGTCAATCGCTGAATAGCTCTCCAGTTTCCAAGAAAGCCTCACAGGGTGGTGAGTTTGTTGGCAGCTCTCTTCTACAACTGCAGTGTGACCCCAGAGCCCACGGTGCTTATCACCGGTCTACCTTCAGGGGCCCAGTGAGACCAACTCAACTGCATTAAACTCCTACTGGGCAGTAATTCTGTTCTTCCTGGAATATGTTTTATAATGCGCTGAGCCCATTACCAGTTTATGGAGAACAGGGGCTGTCATTATGTTTGATTAGTGCTAACCAATTACTCTGATAGCTCAAAAAATAATTTTTGGACACAAAAAAAATTCCCTTTCCTTCCCCTCTTCTTTTTCTTCTATTATTTCAATTTCATGAATTTCTTTTAGTTCTGCCAAAGACCTACTGCAATTACCATTATAAAATTATGTTTCTAATTGAAAACTATTCTGTAGTATTGGCACATGTGGAATGATGCATGTTGTGACTATCGAAGCAGAGGGACTCCAGAGTTAATGCTTGAAAAGTAAAGAGCTGGCCAGGAAGCTGGCTAGAAGCCTGGCTGCTGGGTCAAAAGCTGACAGAACTATGGTAAAAGCAGTGTGTTGGGGACAGTCATACCATCCTCTGGTCTTATTCTGGGCTTTGCTAAGTGAGAACTCTCCAAGAGAATCAATACTTACTTGACTGTCACCTGGAATTTATACAACGAGAGGATAACTTCTGACTACCATGACTGCATTCAGTCAGACTCTCTTCTCCCTGCTGGATTTCTGGGGTTACATCCCTTTTAGGAAGGAGCCTCCGAGGTCTTGTCCCCCGACAAGGGGACCAAAGGAAGGGCACTATCTTTCAGAGTTCCTCTCCTGTGTGTTTATGCATCTCTTTCTCCCATTAATGGAAGAATTATGCAATATTTATTTCTGAATATATTTGACCGTTTTCTCTTCTTAATTTTGAGGTGTGATGTAGGTCGTTTTCTATTTTTCACTCCAAAATCACACAAAGTTAAATTGCTTTTGACTTGCACATGGTCTGTAATTTACCTTTGTTTTTTCTGGAAGCTGCTGTCTTCAATGTAAAAAGTTCCCTTTCCTTTCTCTATTGTTGTTGTTGTTGTTATGTGCTGTCAAGTCAGTTCCGACTCACAGCAACCCTGTGTAGGGTTTTTAAGGAACAGCTGGTAAGTTTGAACCACCGACCTTGTGGTTCAAGCTGACCTTGTGGTCCTGTGCTTTATCGTCCAGCACCACTCCAGGTCTCCACTGTAAAGCATAAAATAAACCCAGACCAATAAAAATAATCTGCGAATTCACTCTCATCTTCCACCTTCTTTCTTTGATAACCTACAGAAAAAAGTAGTCAAGGTAGACATCCCAAAAGAGAAAAAGAAGAAAAGGAAAATATAGGTGGTCCTCAAATAAGTTTGCTATTGTTTTCCTTGGCATTTCCTTAATCTATGATAGAAATGATCCCCAAATTTCATAAAAAGGTCACCATATGCATAACTAACTGAAGGTGACAGGGTGTGTTGCAGAGATTTAGACAGCAGGCAGATAATCAGCTTGACGTTAATTGCCTGCTGCCTAACCCTGGGCACATCAATTATCATCTATGAAGGTGAAGGTCTTCATCAGTAAAGGAAGATACTGCTATCTTCCCATTTCTGCCTATTGTAAGGATCAAATGAAGAAATAAATGCAAAGGTGTTTTGTAATTAGCAAATAATAATAATAAATAATCATAGCAAATTGCTATCTTAATTATTATTTTTGAATACTTCTTATGTGCCAGGTACCATGTCAAATACTTTACATAAATACTCATTTAATCTTCATAAGTATATAAATAATACCAAACTAAACCCACTGCCATTGCTGATTCCAACTCATCATGACCCTGTATAGGGTTTCTGAGACCATAAATCCTTACAGGAGCAGAAAGCCTCATCTTTTTCCTATGAAGTAACTGGTGGGTTTGAATGGACTACCTTGTGTGTAGCAGTCCAGTGCTTGTCGTACAGAGCCAATAATATTACCTCTATTTCATATAGAAGAAAGTAGAGGGAATGATGGTTACCTAACTTGTCTTTGAAAAGATACTAGGAGGAATAGCTGTGGTCCAAACTTAAGAGTCTGACTCCAGGGTCTTATACTTTACCTTCCTAAACAAAGCTTACTTAAATTTTAAAATGATGTAATCTCAAAGTAAAATTGAGAAAACTTAACAACATGCTGTAGACAGCTCACTTCTTAGAAACTCTCCATTGAACAGTACCCACAGTTATACAAAACAAAGTCCACTGACATCAAGTCGATTCTGACTCCTTGCTAGCCTGTAAGACAGAGCAGGATAACCTCATAGGATTCCCAAGGCTGCAAACTTTATGGAGAGGAGGCCTGGTGGTGCTGTAGGATAAGCACTGAACTGCTAACCACAAAGTCAGCTGTTCAAATCCACCAGCAACTTCATGGGAGAAAAATGAGACTTGCTACTTCTGTAAAGATTTCCAGCCTCAGAACCCCTATGCAGGGTCACTTTCAGTGGGAATCAAGTCATTAGCGGTGAGTTTTTTGTTTTGTGGTGTGTGTTCTTTTTAAATTAAAATCTTTAAGAAAGCAGACTTCAATCTTTCTCCCATGGAATGGCTAGTGAGTTCAAACTAAATACCTTTCAGTTAGCCACCTAGTACTTCACCCACAGCACTACCAGAGTTCCTTAATCATTGTCATGTTGTTGTTGTTAACTGCCACTGAGCTGGTTCTGACTCATAGCAACCCTGTATAGGGTTTCTGAGGAGTAGCTGGTGGGTTTGAACTGTCGACCTTGTGGTTCTCAGTCCAATGCTGATCCTACAGTGACACACCAGGAGTCCTAACCACAGTTATAATCATAGTTATAGTGCCTACAAAAGCGATTAAAAAGGCAAGAGCAGCCAGAACAGTGGCCGTTCTTATAGGCATGTAGAAAAGACAATCTTGAAAGACAACAAGCAACTTCAGTGTAAAATCACCCTTTCAGTCTTAACCAAAAGTGAAGGCATATGTGTTCTGGGTAGCTGGGTAAAACAAAAACAAACAAACAACAACTTGATATAGGTCTAAAGCATCAGAAAAAATAATTATAATGTGCTTTTAAGATGATTGAAATTGCTAATGTGATCATAATTTCACAGTCAAGGACCAATTGGTATGCCCAAGTCCAGATGTGGGCTATAAATGAAGAAGGGAAAATAAAATCTGATGGGGCAGTTTTTCTTTTATCTCAACTCTAGGTATTTCATTTCAGCTCTGACCATTGATACTGACCATTGATTTGGGTGAACAATGGAAGAAGGCCAGAAAGTTTGGTATAGAGATAAATATGTGTTCTTAATGACCCTCCCATACCTGCTCCCTGGAGAAAACCTATTGACTTCTTTTTCCTTTTCTTTCCATTTCTTTCCCTTGTTGGAATTCCTTTGCAAAGGTCCCCTATAATGACAGCACACAGTCAGAAAGGGGAAATTGAGATTTTCTCCTTTAATTTCCCTTTTAAAGAGGGTTTGCTTTTAATATAGTACTTACCCAAGATCCACAAACTTCCGTTTAATTTTTCCTCCTTGCATCACTAATGAACTGGATGCTTTCAATGACTTGGGGCCTTTGGCACCATCTAGAATATACACATATATGGAACAGAACAGTTGTTACTATTTTAGAGCTATGAATCAGAAGTCACTGAATCTCTGAACCTAAGTGGTTTGTCTAAATTTCTAACAATGATAGAAAAAATGATAAAGGATGTCTTTTTATAAGACTTAGGAAACAGAGACATTGGGGAGTATGCAGTTAAGCCAGCAGAGGTCCTGTTGGGTCTAATATTCATCACAAAGAATTTTCCCTTCAAACATATTGGAAAGCACTTGATAAACAAGAATAAACACTATCAAATCATCCTTTGCATTCAAAGCAGGGATCAAAATGACTCCTTCTGTTCCTTTCTTGGCTCCAACTCTGTGCTTCAAATGCCTGGACTTGCCCTCCATGCCTTTGGTCAGTGCCTCCCAATATTTGTCTTTGGTTATTGCCTTCTGACAGTTCCCTCATAACATAACCACTGAGAGCTTGGGACAGAGCTTACCACTGACAGTAGGAGAATAGCAGCTTTCCCTTTTGGTCTCCCTTGTTAATGGGAGTCCAGGGACCCAGAAGGGTAGAACATGGGGGAGATTTTTAAGCAGGAGATCAGCTATAAAACATTTGTATCTTGTGTAAGGTCCCTCTCAGCAGTTGGGTAGGAGCACAACTTGGCAGTCTCCTATGAAATGATAGATGCCAAAATCTTGTTTGTGTGTGGACTGACTGACTTTGTCTCTTTGAGTGACTCTGGCATTTTAAAAGGTAGCAGCTGCTGGGGATGGAAACAATGGAAAGAATGCCAAAAAACCAGAGGACAGGCTTTGAGAACAGAGTTCAATATCAAATGTAGGAGCTAGATTGAGCATGTCTATCTCAGACACAAAGGAGCTCTGGTAGTGTAGTGGTTATGACTTGGGCTGTGAGCCGCAAGGTCAGCAGTTCAAAACTACCAGCTGTTCCACGGGAGAAAGATGAGGCGTTCTGCTCCCGTAAAGATTTACAGCCTCGGAAACCCTGTACAGGGTTGCTATGAGTTGGAACCGACTCCAAGGCACACAACAACAATAACATCTCAGACACGGTAGACAACTCCTAAGGCTATTCCTAGGCTAACTGAATATTGCTGCATTTCTTCTTTCAGCATATCCATTTATCTGAAGTGATCAATAAACTTGGTGTTTTAAATTTAGTAGTATTTGTATATGGAATTACCTCACCCTAATTGACTGCTGGTGGCTGTCTGTCTGCCTTATATTTTTAAAATTGTTAAAAATTCTAAGAACATTCTGTCACGGAGTACAGAGAAAATAATAGTCCTGACTAAAAAGTGTTCGGTTAACCTTTCACATTTAGGTTCATTTCACTATGATTCTTGTTTTCTTCAGGTGGAATTTCTAATCACATATACATTCTTTAACAAATATAAAGTGTTCACACAGTTGAACGACACTTAGGAGTCTAGGTTCAAATCTCTAAAGCAACAAACGACACTGACTACGGGCTTTTTGTATTTTTAGTTAATGAAACTCACATTACAATAATCAATTCCTTGAAATGGAATAATGGAATGTATGAGTCAGAAATATGTCTGTGTCAAAATCCACTTCTAGCCTCAAATATTTATTATGGATATTTGCTTCATTACTCCGGGTAACTGTATTAAATAGTGATCGACATGACAAACACACACACACACACACACACACACTTACAAGCAAATCCACAGACAGGTCACAAGTGCTTTCTAAGAGGATTCTGCTAATGGACATTAAAGAAGAGCAGAATTTCAATATTCCTAACAGGGGTTGAAATAAAGAAAGTGCTGAAATCTTCCAAATCAATTCTAAAGCCATTCTTAATAGCTGTGACTGCATACAGTTAAAAGGAAGAGTGTCTAATTATTTCTGACTTAGAGCTAGCTGGACATTTTTTAATGGGTGGTAAGAGGATCAGACGAGACTGCGATGCTGTACATGTTAGCACTCTAACCCACTAGTATTATACTCATTTGGACATCTCAGAACTAAAAGTCATATTTTGTCAATTACAGCCTGCTGCTAGGCAACCTCACATCATTATCTCACACATTTAACAAATTGTGTTCTAAGGAACACTTGAATGAATGCTGCCAAAAGGCTGAAGAGGAAAGATGAAGGAATAATTCACTTTCCCATTTTAAACCCAGCAAACACATCATTAATGTATATCAGAACTTCCAGCCTTCATTAAAGCAACATTGACTAGGTTATGATTTCAACAAGACAGTAAGAAACACGACGTGCTTCTATTACTTGCTTGTTTTGTTAGCTTTTAAGTAAGATTTCTATTGGAATCTCTCCAATATCACCTTCATCAGCAATTAGAAGTCTGAACCTGGGGGTTGAGTGCCTTAGTTTTAAGCTTTAGCAACTTGGTTTTCATTTTCTATGGTTCCAAATGGTTGTCCGATAGCTTAATTCTAGGCTCTTGTATTGACGTCTATTCTTAATCTCTCTGCACTATGATTCTTGACTACCTCCTCTTCCTTTAACTGAGGGCTCCCAAATCTACCTCATAACCCTGTCATTTCTTTTGAGCCCACTACCTGCCCCCTCCTTTTTAAAATGAGTTAATCACCTTCCCTGATGATGTTTCTGATGTACTATTTTTGAATAATGGCAACCCTCACTGAAGCTAGAAACCCTTTGATCAGTTTGATTCTCTCATTTTCATCCACCTATAGCTAGTCAATTTACTTTTTAAGGCTCTTGCATCATTCTTTCCTGCCACTGCCCATTGCTGCTCCTTAGAAGTTATCACATCACAAAGACCACAGCCACTGTTCCCTAACTCATCTTCCTTACAGCGAGTGCCTTTTCCTTTATATTCCTCTGTGCAAACATTTTAGTATCCCCTACCATTACAGAGTTCTGGTGTGATGCTGTACAATAGGCACTGGACCAATAAGGCAGTTTGAACTGCAAGGTCGGTGGTTCAAACTCACCAGCCACTCCTTGGAAACCCATTACTGGGTCACTATGAGTCAGACCCAACTCAACAGCATTTAATGATGATGATGATGAATATTACAGGAATGTATCTAAGATATTTAAATCATAGAGCTACAAAAGTTACCTAACAGTTTCATTCTATGTGATTGAACTATAAACAAACTGCTTTAGTCAGCCTATGCATCTTAGGTATACGTGTTCTGGTTAATGCCATCTTCTGATATATTCTCCTAACCTCTCTCCCCCACCTCCCTGTCCTTCACTGGTTACTCTAATTCTACTTCATTTGTATCATTTATCAACCTCAGCTGTATGTAATCTTGGCCTCATTTGAGTAAAGGTATAGTTTACTATACAAGTATACGTTGTTTTTGTTGTTAGTGCCATTGAAATGGTTTCAACTCCTAGAGGCCCCATATACGGTTTCCAAGGACCAGCTGGTGGGTTTGAACTACTGACCTTGTGGTTAGTAGTCCAGTGCCACACCAGGACTATTTGTTGTTGTTAGGTGCCATCGAGTCGGTACTGACCCATAATTACCTTATGCACAGCAGAACGAAACACTGCCCAACCCTGGGCCAACCTCACTATTGCCACGCTTGAGTCCATCGATGCTGCCACTTGGCCAATCCATCTTGTTGGGGGGGGCCTTCCTCTTTGTCTCTGACCCTCCATCTTACCAAACATGATATCCTTCTCCAGTGACTGGTCCCTCTTGACAATATGTTCGAAGTATGAGAGACGAAGTTTGGCCATCACGGCCTCCAGGGAACATTCTGGCTGCACTTCTTCCAAAATGGATCTATTGGTTCTTTTGGCAGCCCATGGCACTTTCAATATTCTCCTCCAACACCATAACTCAAAAGCATCAATTCTTCTAACACCAGGACTATAGTAACATGTTAATAATAATGAGTGTCACATGAAAAAAGCATGAATCCTGCAAAGTTTTCAAAAGTCAGATTCTACTTCTCAGGATATGAATTCAAAAAATATTTGTGAAGCAATGTACTAATCACACATAAAGTCACTTATTCATTTACTCTACTTCAATGTGTTTGAACAGGGGCCCACTGCTATGTGAGTCTAGAGACAAAAACTTTATTGCTAGGCTTCTCAGAGAATAAGCATGAGGGAACTATTTCTATGCCTTCAAAAAATTTATAAGCATACGGAAATTATAATCTTTTATTTCCTCTGATTGTAATGGCAATGAAGTTAGCTATTTATCCTTTACCTCGTAAGAATGCACTCACTTTCCTGAGGCTTTTGATTGTGGTATTGAGACAACATACAAAGTACTAATTCCAACTCCAGTTACCAGTGCATAAGTCTAAGTGGCAATAAAACCCACCGACAATTTAATTACTTTTCATAGACCACAAGTAATTCCATATTACTAAAAAATAACCTAGATAAATGACAACTGATGACTAAGACATTATCAGAGTTTACCCAGCAATGATGAGTGGAAGAAAACATACTTCTAGACCAGAGATTGACCAACTTTCACTTTAAAGGTCCAGATAGTACTTTTTTGGCTTGTGGGTCATCTGGTCTCTCTTTGTACTCAACTCTGCCTTTGTAGCACATAAAGGTAGACAATCTATGATGTAATGAACACAGTTGTGTTCCAGTAAGATTCTACAAAATCAGGTGGAAGGTCAGATTTGGCTTGACAATTGCTTCTGAAGAAGAAATGCACTAATTATTTGGACAGACACACTTACTAATTCATCCAAGAAATTTACTGAATATCTATTATACACCCTGTGTTGGTTTTTGTTGGGGACCAGGAATACATAGACGATTAAGATCAATGAGAACCTTGGCTCCCACTTGACAACTATCTTACTTGCCATACACAAGGTGATAGAGGCAGAAGCAACAGGTGAAAAACTCTCCAGGATCAGAAAAAATAAGGATAATTCTCTCTGCCTGGGAAAGAAGGCTGTAAAGGAAGGCTTCACTAGTGGGGTAAGATTTAAGCTGGGATAATGAAGAATGAGGATGTTCCTAGAGTGGTATGGAAAATTTGAACATC